TGACATTTTAATAAATTTCTAATAAATGGCGAATATGGAGAGCTGGTTTGTTTACTAATCTCGATCACACTAAAGCTCGATTCAGTTTAAAGTCTGTGTATTATGGTATAAAACGGTCGATCGAACGACAACAACAACAGTATACTTGCCGCTTGAATGTTAAAACAAGCAAGTGAATTCACGACTTGTTCCTGATATGTAATAAATCAAATACATCGCGCTAGAATCACATAAATAACATCTGAAATGTCAACTAACGAATATATAATATTGGGGCGAGATGGTGGGGCGAGATGCCATAGTGGGGGCGAGACGGTATAGTGGGGGCAACATGGTGGGGGCGACATGGCAATGGGTCAAATGACCSTAATTCCACCACAAGGGTGTTAACTTGTAATGTCTATGCTTAAGGAACTTCTGATAACAAGATCAAAAGATGTTACAACTTGTAAAGTCACTCATTTCTCTGGAACAATTATTTCCATGAGACTTGCTTTGGACTTTGCTCTGTTGCTCGAATACACCACAAAACAGCATTTGCTGATGACCTTGAACATCAGTTCTTTATATCTGATATAAAACTGATTAATAAAACATKAGTGCTTTATCAGGATATGCTTTATCATGTGACCCAATAGTTTGATGCTCATTGGACTAATAGCTCATGAATTATTAATGAGTTCTAGAATGACAATTTCAGTTCTTTTTCTGGTCAGGCAACCCATTTGGCACCTCTTTCTAAAGATTGATAGGATTTTTTATTCTGAAGCGAGTAGCACTGGATGGGGGTGATGTCACTGCTTGTGGTGACTGGGATGAGTCTGACCAAGAGCTCTACGTTCAGATAATAAGTGGCACGCTTATTCTTGAAGTCATTTGCAGCAAATCTTACCAACAAAGAATGCAAGCATAGATCCGACAACCAATCTACAGTGTCGATCTTATCATTATGTAGCAACAAAAGTCATTTGCAGGAGGAAGCTACCAAAATTTATTCTCTCTGTCACCATCACATCAGATTGTTTCTGGAGTGGATATTATAGCAGACCACTGGTCAAAAGTTGAGCAGTGAGAACAATTTACTTGTCCCACCAATCCACTTTATAGCCAATCCTTAGGTATGATGTGTGGCGGAGAGATTGGTACCATGGTCGTCCCATTCTGGCCTTCTGCCCCATTGAGTTCTCTCATTTTAAGTGATTTTAAGTAATGGCCCGAGTAAGAACTAGAGAAGCAAATGGCAAAGGAATGCAAGAAGGTGCTAATTGTGCATTGTATAATACATCCATCCTATTGGTTTAAACAAGAAAATCTGCTATAATTTCACAAGTTAGCGCATTTTCTAACATGATTATTTAATATCTGATTCCGACTTCATGAAAGCTTTCTTTAGCTACAATATTGAGGCAATTCTATGTGGGGAACATAGCAAATTAGAAGCTTCTTTTGGCTATTGTTTTGAGTGCTTATGATTGGATAAGAGGTTTTTTAAAATACAAAAGAAACTTTGTTTCAAAATAGAGTTTTTATCCAAATTTTATTTCAAAAATGTGTTACTCATAGGTTGATATATAATCAGTGTGAAAAACAAGACATTTGTATGTGGGGAAGTTGCAATGCCGCAGAACAATAGAGAGTTCTATAGTTCTTATACACATTGTTACTTAAGTGACAGCAGTGGCGTGCAGGACTTCGTACTAGACGATATCCCGGCTCTGCTTAAAGTGACTTATTTGATAATGGTACCCCAAATTGCAGAATCTTGACACTCAGACTGGCCATAGATGGCGACTTTACCTACTGCTTGGTAACCAGCACTGCTTGCTGTACTTTAACAGTGTGCGTGTCAACTGAATGCAGAACAACGCAGAATTACTACTTTCACCCCAAATATGTTACTAAACTCCACTACTAACTGTAGTTGAGGCTATTCATAGCTAACTAATATTCTGTGGTTGATGCTGTTGTGGTGACAGACAAGTGAAATTGAAATTGTGAAGATGTTACTGAACTCCCACTACAGTATTAGAGGTTATTAGTAGCTATTATTTATTGACTGATGCTATTACAGTGGCAGATCAATGGCCTGAGGTTCCCCATTGCTTCAGTGAAGGCTAGGAAGCTAGTCGGCGACTAACTCTGTTCTACAAATTCATCAAATATGTGATTTCATGGGAAGGGCCTACTGCCAGAGCAAACGTACCACCCCTTAGCAGTTCAAGTTTGCCAGGCATGCAGATGTGCCTGCTCCAGACCAGTTAAGAATAAGAAACCTCTTAAGGGCGTGTTAACTGTGGTACTTGACTTAACTGGTTTTCTTCCTTTTGTCCTTAATCAAAGTAGATGGAATTCAATTCCACAAACGTTAAATTTCTGTCGATTTTTATGAAAAAAATGCAAGAATGACCAGGAAACGTTGTTTACTTTATTAGTCTTGTTCAGAGATTTTCATATTCCTACTGTTCCCTTGAGTCCATAAACTACAACAACATGTATCTGCCTGGACGTGTCCAGGCTCAACAGCTCCACACAAGCACAAGTATAGTAATTGATCAGGAGTCATAATTTATAGATACAGAAAGTRTTTATTGCATGATTGGTAGCTCCTTTAGCTGCGGTGACTTGGTATTAGTCTCTCGGAAATTCCGTGCTTGGATGCAACAGATACCCACTGGGGTGGAGGCCATACAATTCAAGCATACATCCTGGAACATCTTCAGAATTACCTTTCTTACTAAAGAGTATTTTAACTTGTGACATGAAACAAGTTGCTTATCTCCATGGCCAACAATTAACTTCCTTCACGGTTATAAACAACTTGATAGACCAGATCAAAGCAAGATTACTTTTACTGATGTTTTGGACCTTAGTCCTTCGTCAGAGAATATAGTCCTGAGAGAGTTGTACTTAAATTTTTATTAGTAAAATTTTCACATAGCTAAACATTTATTTTTTATTCACAGCTCAACCTCATTACGGACTGTTCATCTTAATTGCATTATTTTATTTCCTATAAAATGCA